CAACGTTTACCAGGTGGCCGTAACTGTTAGATGTATGTGCGGGGGTATCAAAAAAATAGTCAGTGACGAAAAACTTTGCTAAATTGATCAGCGCGCAATATTTGCAAAAATTTCAAGTGGAAATAGGCAGTTGGACTTCCAATGGTTCATCTGATAGTTAGGAATGTGTTACAGAAAAGTGCTTTTGAAGTAGCTCACGCACAAAAATGACAAAGCTAAAGAAATTGAAACACGTATCACGCAGGTTACTTAGATGTATGTGCGGGGGTATCAAAAAAATAGTCAGTGACGAAAAACTTTGCTAAATATTTGCACAAATTTTAAGTGGAAATAGGCAGTTGGACTTCCAATGGTTCATCTGATAGTTAAGTAAAATTGTTTCAAATAACCTTTTTAGAGGGAGAAATGTGTTACAGAGAAGTGCTTTTAAAGTAGCTCACGCACAAAAATGACAAAGCTAAATGCAATTGAAACACATAGGATTAAAATATGTCAGACTTTGTTCAAGCAAATGAAGTTTCAGGGAATTTGGAAAAAGCGTACACGAACAATTAGCTTCCAAATCACAGATTATTTTGTTTTCGTTTTTGAATACCTTTTTATAGCTCTCTTTAATTATGTATAAATTTCAGTTTCCAAAAAACCTGAATCATTATAAACAGAAAAATTGATGATGATTTATGTAAAATGTGATATAAACGAAAAAACCCAAGTTAATCTACGATTCGGAAGACGAACGTTCGCGTAAGAATCGTCCAAATTTACAGAAACTTTATTAGTTTGAACAACATAAGCCATATTTTAACTTTATGCATTCCAATTGCAATCTATTGATGTCGTTTTTGGCGAAAGCTATTTTAAAATAGTTTCTCGGTTACAAATTTTTACTCTAACAACGACTATGATTTACGAAAATTTAACTGTAATAATGTAAATGGTTTGAACCCAGGCGTATCGTTACATGTTTTTAGATGTAGATCGTCATGGTTCGTAGTCCGGAGAAAGTCAACTTGAATTCAAAGGTGACCACTGCTAAGATTGTCGAAACGTCAGTCAAGAACAACAAAAACAGTCCTTCTCATGACTCTACTAACCTCGACGATCTGCATCTACAAAGATGTGAAAATTTGACATTAGATAAATCATTGGAAGTCAAACTACTTATTTCCACCAAAGGTTTTTGAGAACCTTGTACGCTGATCGATTTAGCAACGTTCTCTCAACTGTGTTGTTTTTTCAATTTTCCCCAATCCTTTAGGGTAACCATTACCTCCGTAGGATTTCTAGCACTTCAACAGGACAGCATATTGATATTTACTGTCTCGATTCAGAGACAAATCGTTCGTTCGTAGGGCCGTACTGCCACTGTAGGATTCCAATGGAATATGAAATTCGACAATCGGTTGCAACTAAAAAATACGTCAAACATGTCAAATACATCGTAAATATGAGTGGACAACAATTAATAAAAAGTTATAAAATTTCAATGTTGTGCCAGGTGCGAATCGAAATCTAAATATAAAGATAAGATCCCAACAGATCGTGATTGAGAAAGCCATTGGCATTTGATTTTTTCAGTATTTACTTAAAAAAGCAAGCGACGTTTCGTCTTGACTCAAGACTTCTTAGACGAATTACATAGACTTACTACGATGCTCAAAAGTTTCTGTTTATTACTTTTACTTTGCTGTGTGCCCTTTTACAGGAAGCAACTATCTATAACTCCCTTTTTTCTCATCAGATCTTAAAAACTCTTAAATTGGTCTTTGGAACAGTTGGGAGAGGGGGAGAATGCACGTCCCCTCAGCTATTTTCAGGGTAAATTTACCCCCATTACTTATCCCCCTTATATCTTGTACAGTAATTCTTACATTTCCTTACAATACTCAATATCAGCTTTACACTGTAAGCGCACATCTACACAAACCTCACACCTTAACTATCTAAGTAATTACATCTCATTTGAAGATGTCTTGACTCGAAACGAAACGACAAACGTCACTTGCTTTGCTTTAATAAATATCAAAGAAATCGAGCGCTTATGGTTAAATTTGAAACGATCTGTTGGACCTTTAGGTTGATAATTAAAAAAGAATTCTTTAATATTTCAAACATGTTACCTTCTTCAGTACATAAAACACTGTCTAATTCTTGTTGATCAACGTTATCAACGTCGTCGTCGGCGCTCATGATTTACTGTATAAAGAAAAAAACATCAAACTAGATGAATTGGTCAATTTTGACTTCAAAATATCATTTAATTTCAATAAACATCGACTATAAATCATCTAGAGTTGCAACCACGTAATAAGTACCGTGCTTATAGCCATGCATTAAAGTCAATAACGAGCATAATTTCTGTTCAACGAGAATGATCATGACGAAGTAAGAGATTGCGAACTATACAATATCACATGTGCAAATACGTGATTATGTCGTAACAAAATCCCATCATTCTTTGCGGACGCAGACGTTGTGCATAATAAAAGTGAAAGCCGTTAAGGAGAGTAGCCTTTTGTCATTTCTTAAATAAGTATGTTGACTGATGACTCTAAACGATGAATAAAATGCAGTCTACTGCTGTCGACACCTTAAGAATAAAATTGAATTTCAACAGATAAATTTTCACAAACTCTTTCGATTTTTGAAATAGAATTTGCCAACAACCATCATGCATAGCGCGCGTTTGTTCATTTCACGTATATCAACTATTGTTACTTAAAAAACGAATATCAAAAATTCATTAAACATTGCAGTGATTAGTACAACGAAACATGTAACAATAAAATCAAACTTGGGAAGTGTTATTTCCCAACATTTCTAGGAGCGAATTTTTATTAAATGATTTTTATCTACTGTCGAAGACTCGAAAATATTTCGATCTCGTGGAAGCTGATTTTAGTTAACCTCTTAATCACAAGCAGTAACTAACGGTGATTTACATTGACTAGTCTTTGGGATCGCATGTAATTTTACATTGCTTACAATCATTCATACAATTTATCAAACTTTTAGCAACATATAGATAGCGAATGTTTACGGAAATAATTTTAACAATCTGTGACAAACTGGAATTCAAATTCAGCAATTCGTTCCCATGTACTTTACTTATGTCACTGAAATTCGAACAACAAATACTTAATACATGATATTTACCTTTTGATGAAAATGCTTTGCATAATTTTATCGAAATTTTCTTAAGGCGTCTTCTTCAATGAATACGATGACTAGAAAATGAAAGTATTGATCTCAGGAAGAATGTCATATGATCTCTGCGTGACTAGAAATACTATATGATTAAATATCATGTATAAACTCACGCTAGTTAACCTAATTTCTTTCAAAATTGACGAAAATTAGTCAATTTGATAAAAAATTTTGGTTTCACAAGAATTATTCAACAATATACAGCATAAGACTTCGGTAGAAATTTTTATTTCACAGTAAATGCTACACGCAAGAAAATACTGGAAATTAAAAGTGCTAATTTAATAGTCAATTGGTAAAGAAGTGACGACAATAAAAATGTAGATTTTAGGGGAGGTCTGGTAGTGCAGCCACTAAAGATCTTAAAGAAAGTTAAAACATTGCCCAGAAAAACTCAGTTCAACTGTACTACTGATTTGTTTTGCTATAAATTGAGGGAGTTAAAATGTTTCCGACAGGGGTGTGCAATTTATTTTTGGGAGTTAAATCTAAAGTTTGCAAGTCCCACCCTGTACTCATCCTCAGTAAATCTGTCCATATTTTATAGTGGTTATCTCATTAATGGCAGGAGACATGGTAAAGCTGTAATGGAAAAAGTTATTTTAAAATACTTTTGTTTTCTTGGATTACAGTAAATCACTCTACAAATATGGAATAAAGAACAATTTTCGTTAAAAGAAAACTTACATCATCGATAGTGAAACAATTCTTATACTAATTCTTCCTAAGTTAAAATGGGAATAATAGTATATCATATATGGTATTTTACTTTTATTGCAATTAAATTGTATATAACAATTAGGCATTTAAAATAAACATAACTTTTTATTATAAACATCAACTTACATCAAGTCAATTTCAGTAGACTGGAAAGTTGAAACATTTTATAATAAAATTTTGCTTTATTTTAAATCCATTATTAATCTGGTGCTTTTGAGATCATACATACATACATATAACAATTTATAAAACCAACACAGTGTTTTGTGAAGAAGCAAAAATGCATGTTCCAACAGATATTTGAGAATGCAAGATTAGTAAGAGTTGTTGTGTGACTGGTAACTTTATAATAAGTCTCAAAGTATTTCAAAGTTTTGAAAAATATAATTGTATTGGGCATTAATTTGATTAAATCCAAACTGAGGTTGTTGCTTTTAAATATTTTGCTACCATTATATTCAAAGACGTGTTGTCTCATTTAACACATAAACGAATGCAGCGTTGATAAATTAAAACTTAAAATAAAATGAATAAAAAAAACAAATGTGTTGCCTTTTAGGTCCTTCTTAACTAAATCTCAATAACAATGACAACATTCTACAGCATAATTCATAAAATATTAAAAATTACTGTTTCATTTATGACCAAATATAAAATAAAATGCACTCGCCAGATAATTTTGTTCAAAATCTATATTATAAATAATTAAAAAACTTTACTTACCACTGTATGTTTTACAGACATTAATGACGATGTGTTTACGGGATCATGAAGCATGCGACGTTTGAAAATTGCATCGCTCGTGAGCACATTCTGACGATTTCTTTTCTCTTTTATTTCATAAATTTCATACACACATATAATTTTTCATAACTCATACAACCAAACAACCTCATAAACGATATAAACTACTTCCGCTGGCATGAGCACCAAGACTCTTGCTTTGTAAGGGGGGGAGGGGAGGGGAGGGGGGATGATATGTTGCAAATGTTTTTGGCTTAAGCTGATATCGACCAATCACAGGTATATTTACCAGAGCCCTCATATTTACATCTACGATTGGTATCAACAAAATGACCCAATCAAAGAGCGGCGGGAAATTTTCGCGTTCAAACAATACCTACAGCCACCTACGCGTTTCAACAAAGAGAATTATCCGAGTCTCGGAAAGAAAATCAAAAAGTTCGGATTCTTCGGAAGGTAAGATCGGAATTCTACAGAATTACACAAAATGCGCACTTCTATGAAAGTACGTTCTATTTCACACCAATAAATTTGCAATTAACGCTACATGATTATAAACAGAATGTTGGTAAATAAGCTGATTTGTTATTTTCAAAACATTGTTACAATCGCATTTTCTTCGAAGAAAACGCATTTTGGTGATTTATTACACTAACATTCTAACGAAGGTACATTTATACGTCGCTACGTTAATAGTACAACCGCACGCCAGCAATCTCCGTACTCTAGTTCGCGAAATGTACACTATGGTACGTATTAGAATATTCTTTATCAGTTGATGGTTGCATGCGAAAAGAGCGAAGTTTTTCGATGTTTATTTTCTGCTAATAACTCATACAATACAGTTCCTATAACAAAAGAAAAGGTATAGTCATTTTTTAACCTCATGGTTTGCCACAGACCAGAGGTACTAGGGCTTCTTGATTTGAAAGTTGGTGCTACAGTTGATGAAATAAATAGAAAAGATTTCTACATTCTCATGTTCAAGGTGGTGTGGACGATAAATATTATTTCATAGATAATATCAAATGGTTTAGAAGCATGGCAGATATGCTTGGCAACTCAAGCTTGATTGAAATGCTGATATGCAATGAAATGCTCTCTAAGGTAACATTTTAAGGCAAACATCATGTTCCCATATGCTTACCTGCAGATTGTGGCTACTACAAATTTTAAAAGAGAAACCACACCAAAAGAAAAATTTTCAAATCAAGGTTATCTTGAGCAAAAATGGTGGTCAAGTGCACAAAGGTTGAATTTAAGCATTTTGAGTAACTTAATATTGTACTTTATAATTTTTGAGCGATATGCAATGAGCACTAACCAAGTAAAGCCATGATTAGAATTGTCAGTGAGTTTTAATTGGTTTTGGTCCACTTAACTTCGACTTAAGTCCTGAAATGAGAAATAATTTGAACAAATGATCACAAGCTAATAGTTATGTTTGCATCTGAATTTGCATAAAATTACAAACAATAATTGCTTTAATGCACCAAAGAATAGACAGCTTCAAGATTCTGCACCATAATAATATCTGTTTAGAACATTTTTTCATTAACTACAAATCCTAGTTGCAGCATAATAACTTGAGATATGAGATGATCATTAATGTTGACTAACCTCTCTGAAAATGTTTCAAAACACCTAAAAATATGAATAAAGTAGATTTATTTACAAGTGAAACATGTAATTTAAAGAGCAGTTGAACCAGACGGGGGGCTGTTGGGGAGCCCCCCCAAAATAATGAGTTCGTCTATGCTTACTTTCTCCTATTAATTTCAGACTTACATAGACCATGCTACCTATTAAGAAAATACATTTAAGTTTGACATCTCTAAGGACAAATTTTCATATTCTTTACAGGGTGGTGCTAACAATTTTTTTGGGGGTGCTGGTAAGGAAGTGATGTAAGACAATGTAAGGGTCTATAATTTATGGTGGTCTAGTAGTGTAGCCATCAAAGGTTGTGTAGAAAGTAGTAATTTTGCCCTGAAAACTCAACCATAATGCTGATATGTTTCAAAAATTGGGGAGTGGTAATTAAAATGTTCATTAGAGGGCGAACAATTTAGTTGGGGGTGAAATCTAGGGTTTGGGGTGTAGTACCCCACACCCCATGTAAATCCATCCATGTCACATGTATCCTGCCAAACGGACTTGAGCCAATTTGTGACTTATTTCATTGTACTACCACCTACTGATTTTCAAAGATTTCTGCATACCTTTTATTATAGTTGTCACATGATAAGGAGCTCAAATTTCACTACAGAGATAAAGAATTTCACGACAACTCTTGTAACCATCAACTCTTTCAACTGTCCAAATCACTCAATGCTTTAAACGCAAATATTTTACCTTCGCTGTTATTTTTGCCATTATATTAGCAGTTTCTATGTACAACGATTAGGGGAAGATCAGTCCAGTGTATGTCATCCACGCGGCACGCTCTGCCTCTGGTAGCATTGAACATACAAACAGATTGTTCCAGTTCGCTCTAATTTCGATTGAACACTGCCCCGGTCTGTTTCCATGTACACAATTTAAATCAAACATTATGATTCATAACGGTAACAGTTCAATCACTCTACACAAAATACAATGACATTTCGACTGTCGACCTTTTGTTTGCCGCCATATAACTATGAAAGCATGACAGGAAAAAAGCGAATTGTTTGAGGGAAATGACGAAATCATAGCTGGGAAGAAATGAAATTGAATAGATGTAAATATTTTTTCTCGATCTATTTGGATTCATTGTTTGATAGCGATTTACGAATCCGATACGAATGAATCATGTATTCAGTACTGATTCAGTATCGTGGCATTCGCTTGAACAGGACTGGTAGAATTTAACAGTGTATAATGATAAAAATAGAAGTAATCTTTTTCTACATTAATTTATGATTCAAGTTTACGAATATTTTTTTCTGATAACGATAACAAAGTATGGTATCAATGTACGTAAAAACCCTGAATATATATCCAGGGAGAAATAACTTAATGATTTCATGCAAATTATTTTTCTAAGATTTTTAAGAAAACTAAACAAACAGAATTGTTAACAAACAATAATGCTGGTTTAATAGTTATTGGCAATTTAACAGTTTTATTTTTATTGACATTTTCTATATTTTAAATTAACCACTCAAACTTTTCAATGTAGAGAGCAATGATAATTCAGAACTAGCTTCATTGAAATACTGAGTGATGCAATGAAATGCTCTTCAAAGTAATGTTTAATGGTGAACATTCCGTCTCCAAATGCTTTCCTGCTAATCTTGTTTACCCTAATATGCTTACTTTGACAAAATTGCAAATGAGAAACCACACAATCAGACGATGATGCAAATCTAGATTATCTTTAGAAAAAACAATGGAAAATTCACTTGGTAAATTAAAGCTTAATTAAGGTTTTTAAGGAAGCTTATTGAGCTTTAAATGAAATACATACCATACGCTACTTTGAACATGATCGTATATGACAGTGAGTTTCTACTCAACTTTAAAAGCAAGTTCCTGGAATGAGGAAAAAATTATTTTCAGTAAAGAATCACAAGCTAATTACTTCAACTAAAATGAATACTCCTCCTTAAACAAAACATTAAGATGCATTATTAGGGGTGTAGAAAGCATACAATAAGTGGAAAACATGACACAACTGCCAAATTGGTGAAGACGATTTTAAAGATATGCCCCCCCCCCCCATTTTAGTCCTTCCAGTGCCGCTGTGCAATAATATAGGTTGCATCTGAATTTGTGCAAACTTGAAATTGATAGTTATTTGAATGCACCAGAAGAATGGCCAGCTTCAAAATGTTGCACTACATTCTTTCTGCACATGATAATATAGCCATAGAGCAAATATTTTTTTTTTGAAATTCTCATTATTTTTTAAACTGCATCGTCTTGTCTATAATAATTCCTCATTGGCATCTTGGTTGCAAAATATTAATTTGTAGAATGACAAGATGTTCATTCACAGTGACTAATCCAATGTGACAATGTATGTTTAATACATTATGAGCATTGATCTGTGTATATTGCTTCCCCCTGTTCCATATGTTGTGATCATTTAAAACAGGTGGGGCTGTCAAAGCTCACCAAACTGGATCTGGTAATAAAAATTACCAACTCTGATCACACTGAACTAACCTCTCCTAAAACACTTGCAAGATACAAAAAAAGAGACTTGATTCTAATTCATGCATTTTAAAAATTCACTCTATATTCAAGGTTAGTTGTCGAAGGACTGCATCTCAAATTTCGCTAAAGACATTAAAAATTTCAGGACAACACTTTCCCAGGGCCACTGCTACAACATTAGTTAGGGAAGGGTGTTATTCATTAATGCAACAGATATGAGTTGGACGCATTGAGTTCTCTGTGACCTTGAGGTCTTATACAACTCAATGGTTGGGTGCAACAGAATATATGAATTTCATAGCCCACCACCCCCGCCCCCCCCCCCTACAGCTAAGAACCTGTCTAATCATTTAATACTTGTTTAACAAATATTTCACCTTCGTAGCTATTCTTTTCTTTGTCTTAGCACTTTCCATGCACATTGACCAGAGAGTTTCACAATGTTTATTCCCGTGTATAAAGTTCACCCACTTTCTGGCTGCAATTCAAACAGTCATTTCCAAATTGCAATTGGCTCCAATTTCGATTCAATACTTCCCCAGTCTGCTTCCACATACAATCAAACTTCAAACTTCATGATTCACTACGGCAAGAGTTCAATCACCCTATCAGTCTAAATGGGACGGCCTTTCTGTTAGAAATGCGTCGAGATTTCGACTGTCATTTGCCGCCATACGGCTACTCCACATGCACTAGTTCGTGTTGCAGGGAAATGACGTAATTGTAGAGATAAATAATGATTTTATTTTAATTTTTTTGCTTCATCGGATTGGATTCATGATTGATTTCGATTCCGACACGGTATGAGTCCAGTATCGTGTGAATAGTACTAGTACAGAATGTACATAAGCTTGCATAGGAAATTATGGTATAAAAATAGAATTAATTTAAGTTTATGGTACAAATGCCGGAATTTTTTCCCAGATAACAAAGCGTGCCATTGAAGTAAATGTGACTTTAATCAATACTTTTTACCTTATGCTCTTGTAAAAAAAACCCAGAATATTTCTAGATAATAAAAACTTTAAGCTCAGCAAGTCATCTTTCTAAATTGGAAAGGATGTGCTATAACTTATTGTAAGGAAACTAACCAAAAAATTTAACTTTTCTTGAATTCGGACATGCCCAAGAGTGGACATTGTGCCATTGTGCCATGGTACGTGGGCCCTTACTAGTATATGGAAATGGACACTTTATACACATATCTATGAAATACCAATGTTACTGAAATTTAAAGAATTATTTGATTCTCGTACTTTTGCAGGTGTGACAACGAAAACAGTCAAGAAGTTTAAAGCATTTCAAAAGGTGCGCAATAAAACTCCCCGGATGTTTAAAGGCAACAAAAGTTCCAAGAATGGGTAAATACTTCAGATCAGCGTCAAAGTCATTGAAAATGAAACAATTTCTCTTTTTTGCCGCAGGGGTTGGTTGCAAGAAGAATGGATAGCGTTATCCACTGGATAGCAAATTTTTCTGAACGCTCATAAAATCTCTCATAAGAGAAAAATATACGATTTGAACTGTGCAATCACTGAAATAAAATATTGTTTCGAAGATTACAAAATTTCTTTGTTGTAAGAAAAATATAAACGCTTTTTTTACAAGTTTGAAATTTTTGCTATCCAATGCATAACACTATCCAGGCTTCGTGCAACCGGCCCTAGGACTGTAACCTGGATAATCAAGACTACATACAACATGTAACTATACTCGCAGGCTTAAATCATTCACTATATCAATAAAGCACCAATATATTGCCATTCGTGATTTAATCAATATTTTGTACTTTATTCGAGACATCCTTTATATTACAAAACTTAACCGTACTTTTGAAACTTTCCATATGTAGAAGTAGAATGGTTGGCTACAATAATGGATCTAATTCAGCCGATGAGTTCCACCTTATTTTGCCTATTCAAGAGACATCTGATGGTGAGTATACTGCCATGCCAAATCATGGACCAACGACTTATCAAAACATATCTAAACATGAATCCTCGTGTAGTAATTATAGAATTGCGAATCAAATGACTTTTCTTTTGACTTAGGGAGAAGTTATCTTAATGATGATCTAGATGATGACGAAATGTATTTCCTTGAGCATAAGGAGGAGTCCGTTGAAGATGATTTTCTTAATCAGTTAGAAAACAGCAAAATAAATACATCTTTAGATAAATAGTACTGCCTAGCAAACAATACGTAATATTTAATGAAATGGATTTAGTTGACATATATGTAATTTTAATTTCTTAATGGGTGTTTTATCATTAATGTTCATTAAAAAAATACAATTCTTGCCAGCACTAAAGGAAATTTGCCGGAAAGAATGAACATCTGCGTATTGCTGCGTGCGTATAATAAAAGTTTGTATCAACGCCATGCATTTATGATTAAGAAGTGAGAAAGGAGTTTATTTTGAGTAGCTACTCATATTCAGACATCGTTGTGAGAGAATAAGAAAGGAACTATTCCGTAGTCAGTCTGTTAAAACATATGTAACTCGGGCGAAATGAGATATATTGCTGAGCATTGCAGAAATAATTCACATACTGCTCGTAAAACATTTCATGTAAATGTGGAAGCTTATTCTATTGGAATATTTTAACAAAAATCTTGCAATTGTAGAAGAAATCACTCTGCTATTAATTAGAGAGAACCCGATTAGCGTGAGAGAGCTTTTAGAAAACGGGCGTTGGTCTCAAATTCAAAATAAAATTTACTAAAGCGTATGGTACGTAGCTGCCGTCTGGTTTAATAGACCTCACTAGCACACCAAAACTGCTTTCTCTTTGAAAGTGGTGAAAACAAATCATAATCTTTGAAAAATGAAACAGGCTACGTCACCTGTTCAATTTGCATCCTCTCACCAAACTGCTTAGTAAAGTATAAAATCGTGCAAAAATTGGAGCAAAGAGAACTGTGATAACACCACTGAACTATTAATCAGTCACCTGATTTTTTCAGGTCCTGAGACGATTGCTTAAATTGTCCAGCAAAGTGCGAAGATCATATCTTCATTTAATTTCAAACACCGCACTGCATAAAACATTCATACCACTGAACTATCATAGAAGGAAGGCTACCTGTAATAGATAAAAGCTAGGGCTTTCTTTACAAAACTTTAATTGCCGAAAAGTTGTGTATGCTTAATGTTAAATTTCATTTGAAAAGTTTTCTTTGCCAAATAAAAAAGGGCTTTTGTTTTGTTTTCGGAGATTTGTAAATCATACAAGTTCTCTTTTCCTTCGCTTCTATCGGCCGTGCGTTTATATTGTGTGGAAAGAGGCTCTCTGGCATCAAAATATCGACAGACGTAGACTTCCATCTATTTTAGTTCAATGGATACAACACTGACATGCTTGTCGACAGTTAACTGAAAATGTAATTGACAGAAATTTATTTGTTGTTACATTTGAAAGCTTGCCTGCGGGTTTTAATAAGAGCATGATATTTAATAAATATATATTGTCTTTATTATTTGAAAAACTAAGCCATGAATCATGCATCATTGAAAACTTTACAGCATTTGCCAGTTAGACGAATCGCAGATGCACGTCTTTCAATATCTTACCATAGGTTATTAGTATAGTCGTTTAATCGGCTTGTTTGCAAGATTTCAGCGAGTCCAATCTTTTTCTTTGCAAATCAAGAATTTTTATGTGATGACTTGCAGCTAAATCGAGAGATCGGAGCACAGACGCCATATAGTCCGGAGGATAAGCTCCGAAAATTGGTCAGATTGTTCAAACATGTGAAGAAAGCATGAAACTTACCACAAATTGCTAATTTGATTTATAGATCAAAATAAAAGTGAGACCCCAGGATCAGCTTGTTTAGGGTACTTTTGAGCCGATTAAAAGTTTGGTCAGCGGCTTAAATCGCGGGCTTAATGAGGCTTTATAAAACCGTTTTAAATATAAAATGTTAAATAAAATGTTGTATTTTATATAAAAACAACAAAACACCATGAAAATTTCGGTAAAAATTAATTAATTGTCGAAAGTTACCCTTTTTAAAGGTTATTTCGAAAACTGCATAAATTTTGGGCTCCCTGTGGCAAAAGCCTGGTCGCCTAGTTAATTTGGCATTTCCAGACGATATAGTGCTATTTCTCGATAATTTTTTTGATTATTTTTCGCTTTTAAAATGTCTTTAAACTGGAACCTTTGTGCCTTATGTCAAAAGACACAAAAGAAAAGATTTTATGTCCGGAAAAAGCTTCAAATACTTTACTTGCTGGCTCAAGTTACAAGACAATTGCAGAAAACTTGAAAGAATTCGAGAAACTTGATTCGCTACCTATTAACATTCCACTTTCTTCTCTTGATGATGGCAGAGGTAAGGAATTCCTAATCAATTAAATGTGAAATAAACTCACAGATCAACTATGAGCCATAAATTGTACTTATTTAGCCTTATAATAATACTTTAACAGGCATTGAAAATACTTTAAGAAATCACAGAGCATCATGGCACAAATCGTGCTATAATAAATGCAATACGCTAAAGCTTCAGCGGGCACAAAAGCGCAAAAGTGAAGAGGAATTTTCAACTGAGGATCCAGCAATATTAGGAGCTACTAGTCCAGCTAAAACAAGAAGAAAGACATTTAAATTGTCAAGTAAGAGTAGCAATGCTTTATCATGTTTTTCTGTGATTGCACAGAGGGTGATTTGCATAAAGCAGAAACCATGTCAATTACCAATAATGTTCAATCAGCGGCCGAGACGCTTCAAGATTACAAACTGTTAGCAAAATTAGCACAAGGTGATATGCATGCAAGAGATGCATATTACCATAAATCATGCTTGACATCTCTATAACCGTCAGAGAAGCAAATTAAACCAACCACAAGATAGTGCTGTTGATGATAAAATGAAATAACACCTGAGGCAATAGCCCTTGCAGAATTAAGCCTATATATTAGTGAAAGCCTGGCAGCTGGTGAAGCAGTTTTCAAGATGTCTCAATTGTCAGAGCTCTATTGTTCAAGACTTGAACAATTAGGAGTAGAAGTGAAAGGACGTATCAACTCCACAAGACTGAAAGAACGACTTCTCACTCAAATACCAGAGCTGCATGCATTTAAAGATGGTAAAGATGTGAAGCTGGCAATGCCAAATGATATTGGAACAGCTATGGCTTTTGTACACAATAGGAACCTAGACACCGCTGCATTGTACCTTGCAAAAGCTGCTAGTATAGTACGAAAAAAAATGTTCTTGAAAAGGGAACCCTTTGAAGGCACGTTTACACCAGAATGCCAACAACAAGCAGTCCCCGATAGTTTACTTGCCCTGATAAATATGATTTTAGAGGGTCCAAATATAAATAATCAAAAGAAACAAGAGGTGTCAGGAGCCAGTGCCGCTTTAACGATTTCCCAACTGCTAATATTTAATTCAGTAAAGCATGTACGATCAGGTGCTAGCAATGCCATTCGACATGACAAGTCAAGAGAGACACCATTAACCACTTCCACGGCGCTCGTTGTCCATGCAGAAACAAGAAAAAACATTGGTCGACAAGTTTTATAAGCTAGGTCTTTGCATTTCTTATGACAGACTAATGCAGATATCTGCAGATCTGGGAAACAAGTGTTGCAAACTGTATGAGAAGGAGGGTGTTGTATGTCCTCCAAAATTAAGAAAGAATATCTTTACTACAGGCCAAGTTGACAATATCGATCACAATCCGTCCTCAAGAACCGCTAAAAATTCATTTCATGGAACAGCAATTTCCCTTACACAACATCCTTCTCTTGACTCACAAGGAGAAGAACGAGAACAAGTGCCACAGGATAACACTCCCACAAAGTCAAAGGTCGTCAACAGTTTACCTGAATTCTATACAACTGTAACTCCTGTCACAGATGAAGGTAAAAGGATCTCTTTGTCCCAAAGTCACTGGCTCTTTTAAACCTAAACAAGACCTGATAAATAAAAGCATCAAGGAAGAGGAGAAATGGCTAAAAAGGGTCGACGAACTTTTACTCAAAGAAAAGCTTGAAGAAAAGGATTACTTATCATGGTCAGCTTACTTTGCATCTGAGCAAAACGTAGTTTTGAGGCCCAATGCAATCACCTCTTTATTGCCACTTTTGAAGACAATGCTCATACTATGGCTATGATAAAGCATGCAATGAAAACCGTCAAAGAATCTACTAAGTTCTTAAACCCTAATCAAACTCCTGTTATAGCGATGGACCAACCACTCTATGCACTCGCTAAGCAAATACAGTGGAACAAACAAAATGAATTCGGTGAAGATAAGTACATGGTAATGATGGGTGGCCTGCATATTGAGATGGCAATATTAAAGATGATTGGACATTGGTTAACTAACAGTGGGTGGGCAAGGTATGGTGTAGATTTGTTGTTTTATAATCTCAATCTAATAACTAACATATATTTTTACTTTGAAGTGCTCTAATTCATGCTGAGGTTATGACAAGTGGAAGAGCGGATTCTGTTTTGAAAGGATCGCACGTGACGAGATCTCGCTATGTCCACCAAGTAAGTGCCTGTGCAATTTACCTTATGCAGAAAATTGCTTACCAGGAGTACATCGAAAGTTGTGAAGACAAGCCCCCCAAAAGTTATGAAGCTTGGATAAAAGAACAAAGTGAGCTTTGCCCGCAATTCAAATACTGGGCGACAGTATTAGACCTCGAAATTCTTCTACTGCAGTTTGTTAAGGCTACCAGAGGGTAACTTCCAAGTCTACTTACAAGTGCTTGGAAAGGTACTTCCTTGGTTTTGCGATGAACTTGTCTAACTACTCTAGATGGTTGCCAGTACATGTGAGAGATCTCTTACGATTAGAGAAAACGCATCCTACTCTTTTTACAGAGTTTAGTGCACATGGAAAATTTGTGGTTCAGAAGTCCCAACATCGTTTTTCTATGATGTCCCTTGACCAAAACCACGAGCAAGAGAACGAAATGATAAAAGGTGATGGTGGAGCAGTGGGCCTCACCGAGTGCCCAACGGCCCTAAGACGTTGGATGATCGCAGGACCTGAAATTGCAAGACTGGTAAGAGAGTTTGAGTGTTCCTTTGGCGTTCAGTGTTCTACAAAGAACATTACTCACCACGAACAGACACCATCTGTCCAAAAGAACTTTGCAAAAGATGTAAAATCAATGTCTGCTGCATTAAAGGAGTTTGGAAACCCCTTTATGGAAAATAGCAAGGATCTGATTGTCGTAGATACGAAAGAAATAGAGCCTGAGTGTTATAGAGTCGATTTATACAGCTCGAAAGATCGGAGAAGCACAATACACTAAGTACGTCGAAGAGAGACTTGAAAAG